GCTCTTTGCTGTGGGTTTTGATTTTTAACTCATGCCCTGCCGTGCGGCAGACATTGTCAAGCCAGGGAGGACAAAGATTTGTGTACAGATGTAGAAGGGCAGGGCAAAGGTGGCAAGGAGTGACTATCAGCATCCTGGGGAAATGCAAGAGAAAGGAGAAGGCTGAGGCCAATAACTTGGTGCAAGTCCCTGCTTCAGCACAGTTGGCTCCTGCCCTGTGGGTGAGAGGCTATGTACGTTCCAAAGGCACTGAATGGCAGTGGTCTCTTGGGCCTACCCAGTGCTTATGGGGCCCTGGGCTTGACTCAGGGTGAGTTAGAAAAGGAGAAAGAGAGGCAGCTCCTGCTGCAGAGAGCTTGTAGCTGCAGCACAATGCACTGTGGGCCACACCTACTCCAGTCCCCAGAACCGACACCTCGCCACATCTAACAGAATCACCCAGAAGAGAATGATCAAAGGGAACTTCACGTTATATCACAGAGTCATAGAAACATTTCCTTAAAGGGTAACACTTTGGGGCTCCTCTGTCTCACATTCTGAAGCTCTGGTATAAATGCAACCACGTGGTTACTTAACGGAACTCCATGTGCTATGCAAAAAGGTTAAGATCTAAGCACCTCTTCTATGAGAGAGGGGAAGGTGCACAGGAAGACAGAGGCAGACAGGCCCTTGGCAATGTGTCCAGGTGTGTTCTGGCCAGCCTCTCGTTTTCTCCCATGCTTCAATGCCAGTAGTCTGGGCTCCTGATCATGGGGAGGAGGGATGGGCCCTGTATAATTAACATAATGGGGAGGCCAGGATACTCAAGTTATGCCACACTGCACAGCTGCCATCCATGCCACCCTGGACAAGGGGGAGAATGTCATCAGCTCTGAATCCTGGAGACCTGGCTCATGGCAGGTCTAAGCCAACATCCATGGCCAAAGGAATAAGTATGAAGGTGAGAGGAACAATTACCTTGCGATGGGTAAATGAAGAGCGCTAAAGTTGTAGGACTTCAAATTGAGCTCCCCCACTCCCATGTATCCAGTTATGCTGAATATCATAAAAATGGAATTTTGGCCTCCAGAGAGAATGGCTCTGGGGTATACTTTTTGCTCCCTGCTGCTCCGTTTTCTTTATTCTCTTTCCTGTCACGGATCAGAGGGGACCTTCTAGTCTGGATTTATGCATGCATGCTGGGGGCTGGCACACTCGCACATGCTCACACACATTCTTTCACTCAAGATTCAGTGCAGCCTTCTTGGCACGGGGGAAGGAGCTGGCAGAGGTGCAAGAGGTAATGGCAGGAGGGAGTGCTGAACACCTGCCAGGGACACACTCCTGGCTACACTCCGTGCCCTAAGTGTAATGCATAGTTTGCAAAACTAGTCCGAACTGATATGTGACTGGCTATACCCACGGCTCTCCAGAATGAATGCCCAGACTGCGCAAGGTGGCAGGTGAGCCAGTAGATGCGCCTGAGACCCTCAGAATGACCGGGATCCTGTGGTCAGTCTTTAAACTCCCTGTAACAATGCAGTCAGCAGAAGGTCATAAGGCCACTCATGGGCTGAGACATAGATCAATGGGGGCTCTCTACCACTACTTCCTAAAGACTCAATCAAGGGAGACAGAGATAGGAAAGGGAGGTGGGTAATAGGGGATCATGCTGGGGTGGGACCTGGCACTGAGCTGGCTGCACAGAAAGGCTACCTGGGTGCCTCATGCTGGCTGCGAAGGGTGGCGCTTGCTGTGCAGTGCCATCCTGTAAGGCAGCCTAGCCTGGGGGGCTGCTCTGAGCACCACTCTAGTGACGCGTACTAGAAATCAAGCCTTCTGTTACAAATGCTTCATTAGGAATTGACGCGCAGCTCTGAGATGTGTTTAGAATAATGCTTCGGCATGAGGAAAGAACTCTTGCAGCATAACCTGAACTAAGAACTCAACCTTATGTGGTTTACTATAGTCACGTGATTGCCTAGAAAGGCATCAGTATACACAGTTCATTGGCATCTACATATCTTCTTGGGAGTTTATGGCATGGGATTGTTCCCACTGCTACCCCTTTGCTCAGATTTCCAGCTTAGAACATTCTCCCTCCTCATTGCAGCATGGCTATCACCCCTGGGGGGTGATTTCTTGCTTTCTGTCGCTCTGTCTCTCCCTGTCTTTCTGGCAAGCACATGCGCTCTATAGCAAAAATCCTCAAGAAAAAAAAAAAAGGATATTCTCCCTCTTCTTTGTCTATTGAAATCCTGTGTATTCTTTAAAGTTCAGCTTATGATTTGCCTACTCTGGCCCACATTGATTCCCCCCTCCTTTAAATACTTCCAAAGTGATTCTTAGAGTTTAGGCTCATTTATGTACATTCATGATTTAATTGTGTCTTACGTTTTTCCCTCAAGAACCTACAGGTCATAGCAGGCAAAGGTCATGCATCTTTCTTGTATCCCTCTGCAGGTCCTCCTGGGACTTGGTACTGCACAGGTATATCATAAATAGCGCTTGATTGATGTACAGGACCAAGATGGTCCCTAACTTCAAATGAATAGCATGGATTTTGCACCATTTGGAGGGGGACAGTCCTTTGCCTGAGGTATATTCTTTCTTTTCTTTTTAAGTTTTGCTATAGAGCATGTGTACTTTCCACACACACACACACACAGAGAGAGAGAGAGAGAGAGAGAGAGAGAGAGAGAGGGAGAGAGGGAGAGAGAGAGAGGGAGAGAAAGAAAGAGAAAGGAAAAATGAGAAATCACCCTCCCAGGGGATGGCCACACACTGCAATCCCTTCTTCATTCTCTTTTCAGGATTTTGGGCACGTATGCACATGCACCCAGCGTGATTCTCAAGTGCTGTCTCTGGGACTAAACCATGCAGTCAGCCATGTAGGATTCAGTGCTTTAAACTCTGTGTCACCTGCTGGCCCTCTTACATTTTTTTAAAGTTAAAAAAAAAAACCTTTAAATATTAAAAAGTCCCATTTTTTTAAAAGAAAAATTTTAAATGCTTTTTAAGAAAATAACACCAGATGAAAGTTAAAAGAGATCCTGGTGCAAAGAGGAAAAAAAAGAGATTTCAATTTCCTCTTACCCACTGAGAAGTTACCAGTTTGTTGGCATCACTGCGGGTCTTAGACCATTAAGGGCTCGCACTCCCCAGGTCTCTCTGATTCTTTATCTAATATAATAAAAGGTTGAATAAATCAAAAGGTCCCCACACTTTCATGGCCAAGGGCCCTTTTCCTTTTAATGTACTCTATTCTGTACTTCTCACATCGGACCTCATGTTTAGAATGTTCTATCTTTCTACTAAACAGTAAATTAGTAATACTTTTCCCCAATAAAGAACGAGTTATAGACCAATAGAAATAATCAGATGTCCTCACTAGCATCCCATGACCAGAGTAACCACTACACAGAGTTGATAGAATTCCCCCTAAAAGCAAAAGCATGTGGCAATTGGCTTATACGGTCATGTCCTCAGTTATTGAATGATATTTGGCTTTTTGAAATTCTGAAATGAGCCCATTAACCCTTCCTCTTCTCTTTGGCCTTTCATATACTTGAGACTGGCAAGTTTTTTTTTTTTTTGAGAGGTTTTTGCTATAGGGCGCGTGCGCTCGCCAGACAGAGAGAGACAGAGAGACAGAAAGCGAGAAATCACCCCCCAGGGGGACGGTCACGCTGCAATCCCTTCTCCTCCATTCTCCTCTCGGGATCTTGGGCATGCACGCACACGCACCCGGTGTGAGTTTTAAGCCACCAGGTCCGGTACGCGAACCGCGGTCGACTACGTGGGAGTCCAGTGACATAGCCATTATGCCAACTGCTGGTTCCCAGACTGGCAAGTCTTGATTTTAATAATCCTTACAGAAAAACACCATCTAAGAGTGTCTGAGCTGCCTCTTCTCTCTGAAGTTCCATGGGTGTCTGGTTTTACTTCATGAATGGTGTTATCAAACCCATTTGACTAATTATTATTGAAGAGGGACAAATCCAATTAGTTGAACCAATGTCACCTGGACTTGAAGAACTAAGAAGTTCTGGTGTTGGTAGGTGTATAGAGGCGGTAACTAAGCTGCATATTTTAATTTGTTCTCCATTTCAACCTTAGCCAGACTAGCTGGCATTTGAATTAGAACCCTTCTCATGTTCTACCGAGAAAAAAAGGTGGAGAGACTGATTATGGAAATTTCCTCACACACATTCTACACACAGCTCCAACCTCCCCAAGATTTACCTGAGGTTTTCTGAACTGAATTCCGACTCCAGGAATCGTAGGAACTGGTCCCGCCCCACCTGGTCCTTCAATATCTCGTCGAAAGAAAAGCCCCATCTTTTTACTCGCTGCTGGCTGGGCTCCTTGCTTTGTGGTGGGGAGAGAAGGTTTAAAAAATGATCAATACTAGGCAAACGTCTGTTTCACTTCCCCTTCAACAACTCAAATTCATTTCATGGCCACATACCAAAAGGAAATATCTTATATTGAAGTGACAAGGTTCTGTAAAACCTGCACAAATCCCAAAGTGCAGACTTCTGTACCCCAATAGTAACTGATAGCAGAAACATTTTTCATTTTATTTTTAAAAAGAACACATGTGGAAGGGTCAGCATTTGGTGAGGGTCCCGAAGGTTCCCCACAAGTGACTGTTGTCTGTAAGGAAAGCAATATCACCATCGATTTGGCCTCCCCTGGGCCATTCCCATCAATACAGGCCCAAATTTTGACTCCATCATTTTCCCACTTTTTAATTTCTATTTTATTTATTTTTTTTATAAACCAGGATGCTTCAAGGATCCAACCTTTCATCAAAAACACTGTCCTCCTCTTCCCAGTCCTTTTTTAATTCACAGGAGAGAAATTGGGACCCTGTTCAGAGTGATGTACAACTGGTTGAGATGCATCAACTCATGTGGAATAAACCATATCCACTTAATGATTTAACAGCCACGTACCATGCATAGGATGTGCTAGGTCCTGTTCCGAGCATTTTGCATCTGTCAGCTCAGAGTCCTCACAACTACTTTGTTGAATAATGCACTAGTATTATTCCTATTTTCCAGATGGGCAAACTGAGCTAGGTGTAAGGAGTATTTGCCTAAGGATGTATTAGGAGGAAGTGACAGAGGAGTCAAGACTCTAGAGGGCACAGCTCTTCACTCTGCTAAGATGCATAGCTCTGCTTTGCTAGGCTAGCTCACATTTAGCCTAAAGAAGGGGAATTGCTCTTGTTCTTTAGGTGTTAGATGGTGAGAATATCTCCTTCACCTCTGTCTTTCCCTTTAAAATTCACTTGCTGAAAACCAGCAGATGGCATAACGGTTACATCGCTGGATTCCCACGTAGTAGACCACCGTTTGAATCCTGGACCTGGGGCTTAAAATTCACGCCAGACATGTGTATATGTGTGCCCAAAATCCTGAGAGGAGAATGGAAAAGGGATTGTTGTATGGCCATATCCCTGGGAGGTGATTTCTCACTTTCTGTCTCTCTGTATCTCTCTGTCTCTCCAGCAAGTGCTCATGCCCTTGCACATACCAAAAATCTCTCAAACACACACACACACACACACACACACACACAAAAACAAAACTTGTGGAGCGCCCCCGCCCATCGCCCTCAGCGCCTATTTCAAAAATGGCGCTTAACGGAAGCCCACTGTGCGCTCAAAGCAGTAAACAACTTTAAGGAAGTAGGGCAGTGGGGAGCGTGGAGAGCACGGGAACACCGCATGCAACCAATCCTCTTTCAAGGACTGGCTTCCGTGCTCGTGGACAATGATCTGATTGGCTAGGGGCCCT